CGGGGTCTGAATGAGCACGGAAACTTGAATGGGGCCCAGCCCTATTAGAGGGATGTAAGAGAACATCTTGGTAAGGCAGAGCCCACAGCCAGGGTGGAAAAATACTGGTAGCCCCGTGGTGGGAGAGCAGGAGGCAGCCGGGGGCAGGGGGAGGTTGGTGGCTCACCAGCCCCAGCCCATGCTTTGTGCTGTGGTGGGGGAGCAGACAGGGCACAGTGCCTCTCTGCCCTGGGCCGGGGCATGGAGGCAACGCAACGCTCCCTGTCCTGGGCTTGTGGGCTGCATTGCAGGGGGAGGATGCTGAGCGCCCTGCGGGATTGCATATTCCCAGGCAGCGTCAGCAAAATGTGTGGTGTTAGGCTGGGGAAGCGGCGTGGCTGGCTCCTGCCTGTTGCTGCCTGCAGCCCAAGCTGTGAGCACATGCACCGTCAGCGAGGGCCACATCGCAGCCAGCCAGTTTTCTGCATGAAGCCCAGTGGTTCTGGGAGACCGACCCACCCTGGGATCAATCTGGGGGCAGGGCTTGAGGGGTCTCTTTTGTGGTGTTCAAGGTCCAATTGCTCCGCTGTCATTCTGGCCCTGAGTATTCTAGAGCCAGCGAGCTGTGGGCCTTTCACTGCCCTGTGGGTGCAAGGCTGGGGCAGATTGTGCCTGCCCTAGGGTGGACAGGTAATGGGATGCAGGATGGGGCCCATCACCAACAGCCAATGCTCCATCACCGCTGCATCGAGCCCAAGCCAACCTGGTAGCCCTCCTGCTATGGCCATGGCTCCACAGTATGTGGTCCCATGCCTGTGGAGCAGCTCTTACTGGCAGACACCTCTGCCTCAGCACAAGCACATCCCCATGGCCACCAAGGTCAACTTCTCACTGCTTTGTGTGCACTGCTGGTTTCTGGAAGATGGCTCCTGGGCATTTTTGGAAATGGGCCCTCGGGATATGTCTCACCAACTGCTAATTCTCCTTGGTTTTCCCCCTTTTGAACATCTTGACTGAAACAACCCATCAAAGGTCTGGGGCTGAGCAAGGCAGAGCCAGCAACCACATGCTCCAAACAATGTCTTTGTTTAAGGGCAGCAATAAAAACATCACACTTACGCACAACCAAGGCTAAATTTAGCTCTGACTCCTCTGCGCATTGTCACTGGACTGCATGTGCCTCAGGGTGGTACCTAATCCCTGCGAAACCCTTTGATACAGGTGCATTGACTGTGCCAATCCCCTGCCTAGCCAACACGGGCACCCTGCTCCGGGCTGCTTCTCCTCCTGCCCCCAAGTTAGCCCTGTGTGCGGCACAGGACACACCCTGGGGCTGTTGGTCAGGCGTCAAACCCTGTCCTGCCTTGGAGCTTGGATTCAGATCATTGCTTCCCTTGCTGGTCATCTCTAGGGGCTCTGCCGGAGCTGTGTGCTCCATCCCTTGCCGGCTGTCCTCCACGGGATGGGTGCTCGCGGCACTGCCAGCTCTGGGAAGGGTGGCCAGGGGGTGTGGAGGTATCTGCAGTGGCGTGGAGGGTCCCAGCTCACCTCTGCCAGGTCGAGACAGCGCTGGGGTCCTTGCAACAGAAGCTTTGGGGAGGAGCAGGGCTGTGTTGGGGTATTTTTGTTAGAATTTTATGGTCTTATCCCTCTTCATGAAATCTCTCCAGGTTTCTTCCAGAGATGGGGTAAATGAAAAGTCCCAGGGCCCTGTGTCCTGCTCTACCAGCAGTGGGATTGCTGGGTTCAGCAGTTCTGGCCCCTCTGACTCTCCACTTGCAGCTGTGTCTGCTGAGGCAGCTCCAGTGCTGGGGATCCTGGTTAGAAGGGTAGCCCATTGCTCTCAAGCTGATCTTGTTCAAGAGAGGTGACTCTTGGAGAGGTAGGGGTTCCCTGCTGGGAGTTGAGCTTTTGCTGGAGTTTTGCTCTGAAGCCCCAGCAGCTTCCCCACCTCAGTTCCCTCTTCCCATCCACCCACCCCGCTCCCTGACACACCATGCTGAAAGCGGAGCTGCCATAAGGCTGCCTGTGGATAAGGCTTGTGGGCCTGGTGGCCCCTGCCCGAGCCCAGCTGCTCTGTGCCTCAGTTTCCCTCCCAACAAATCCTGCAAGAAAACCTCCTACGTGGAGATACGTGAGCCCTTCGTGTGGTTGCTTCCAGCTTGCAGTGGTGCTCAGTACAGACAGAGAGTATAAAACCCCATCGCTACCCCTGCACGTAACCTTGGGCTGCAGGGAGGATCTGTGGACCCTGTCACTACACAGGGTCAGCCGGATCTATCCCAGGGCCTGGGACTGCGGGCTGTCCACTGCACTCGGGCTACGGAGCCATGACTCAGAGCAGCTCCAGCCAGGGGACAGAAAGGAGCTGCCACTTTTGCATCAGTGACGACAGCCCCTCCTGTGCTCCCTGTGCTGCTGCTGGCATTGGCAGTGCCATGGAAAATTACCCTGTGCTGCTGGTGGAGGAGCAAACCCATGCAGCAGGGAGGGAGGGGGGGGTTGCAAAATGACGCTGGCTGGGGTGTGTCCTTGGGGAACACACCAGACGCCCAGGGTAGAGGGGTCCAGCTCTCAGCCAGGAGGCTTAAAATGGCATCTGCTGCTGCTGCCTGGCTTGGCCCACTCTGCTCACCATGGGGAGGACGGAGGCTGGCTGGGGACGAGGGGGTGAATGGCATTAGGCTGGCACATTCTGCTCCAGCCTGCCAGCCCACAGCAGCAGAGCAGAGGCTCGGGTCTGGTGAATGGCACCGTGCTTCTGGCAGCCTTCCCTACACCACTTATAGCCGAACTGACCCTGCAGCACCCAACGTCTTCCTCCCGCTTCTGGCTCCCATCCTGCTGGGGTGGCTGCCCGGCACACCCTGGCATGGACGAGGTTGCTCCCAGGCTGCGTGGGCTTTGCAGGAGCCCAGCCGGGAGTTCCCGTGCTGCTGGGGAGGCCAGTGGCTGGCTGCCAGCACAGGTGGGGACCCCAGCCCTGAGCGGCATCGGGGGGACAGCTCACTGCAGGGGGTATTCAGAGCTCGGTTTGTCCCCTCAAACCCACTTGTTTTGGTGGACCGAGGTTCAGGGTGTTGGCCTGATGGCCAGCCAGAGCTGTGTCCATCACCACTCAATTGCTTTGATACGTGTGGCAGCACAAAGAAGGTGGCGATCTGGCCCCCGCCCCAGGAGACCATAGCAAAGCCCAGTTGAGAGAGACCAAGGGGTTCAGCTGTGTCAGTACTTGGTGGATACCCCTCTCTGGGCAGGCCCTGGGTGCTGAGGAACAACCCTTGTGCTTGACATATCCCCAACATGATCCCCCCCTCTTTAAGGCAAGGGACGAGACATCCCTCAGACAGCCGCGGCCCGGCTTCAACATCATCGCTGACATCTCTGGGCAGAGGGCTCCTTGGGTCCTCGAGAAGCACTGCTAGCACAGCAGTGCCTCGAAATGAGCATTAGGGGGATGTGACTAAATGCTGGGTGATGACACCAGTCTGCAAGCAGCATCCCCAACCCCCCAGCAAGGTCCTGGCGTGTCCCTGTCCGGAGTTGTGACCTCCCTGCTGCTGTCTCTCAGGAGCCAGACCTCTGTTCGACTAGCTTAGTGTCGCATGGCTGAGCTAAAAGCATAGGGAAATCCATGTGGAAAATGCCACATTGACCTGCATTAAAAGTGCAATGAAAAACAATGTGGAAAAATCTGTGCTGTAGAACTCCCTCAGTTCCCTCTACTCATGCAATTTGGGGTGTGGAAGGCTTCACCAGCAGGCGATTTCTGAACCCCCACATGGGATGACAGCCCAGTCTCTCCAGATTAGAGCATGGAGAGCTTCTGCTCTTTCCAAGCCGAATTAATCATTTCAGCCACATGGCCCTGCTCCTTTGGCAAAGTAGCCACAACCTCCTGCTCTACCCCAAACAGTTGCTGCCCTACACCCCAGCATCAATATGTGGCGGGGTCATCACCACCCCGGACATGGCTTCCACTCCTGGGTGTCCTTCAGACCATGGCTATCACCATCCTCACTCCCGGGCACCCCCAGACCATTGTGGCACTGTTCTGAGGACCCTCACTGCACAGGTCCCCCTTACCCTGGGACCAGTTGGGCTGCTTGACCATGACCATCCGATGCGCAGAGGACCCTGCACGCCCATGTTCCAGAGGACCCCCCAGTCCCTTGTCATCCTTATTCTTGTTCCTGGATACTCCCAGGCTCTTTGGTCTTCATGGCCCCACTCTCTGGGACTCCCTAGCCCCCCTGGCCATAATGGCTCTGTTCTAGGGTATCCTTGTTGCACAGGACCCCTCTTGATCTGGGATCCTCCCCAGGCACCTTCATCATCGCCATCCCCTGCTCTTGGGGACCCCCAGACCCCATACCTGGGCCCCCCCAAGGCTCCCACTTTCCCTGCTCCTGGGACCCCATAACCACAGGGACCCCATTGGCCATCATCGTCCAGCCCTGGGACCTCAATGGTTCCTTACAGGGTGATGTGTGCCACCCCCCCGGCAGCACTCCATCTCCCATGTAACCCCCCCAGCAGTGCTGCACCTCCCGTGTAACGCTCCCCCGTCGCTCCATCTCCCGTTTACTGCTCCCTCCCGCCCCCCCCCCGCCCCCAATCCCTCGAGCTCCCGTTTTATTCCCCTCATCGCTCCATCTCCCGTGTAAACACCCCCCGCCCCCCCTTGCTCCATCTCCTGTGTAACCCCCACACTCGTAACCGCACCCCCCACCCCCCCGCCATCTCTCTGTCGCCTGTGTAATCCCCTCCTCCCCCCCCCCCCCCCCCCCCCGGCCCAGGCCCATTGTCCTCCCGGTTCCCCCCGTTCCCGGCCCCGTTCCCGGCCCCGTCCCCTCCCCTTCGGCCCCGGCGAGGGGAGGAACCGGCCCGGCGGGGGCCGTGCCCAGCCTCGCCCCTGCGCCGCCCTGCGCGGCTCGCACCGGCACCGGCACCGGCACCGGCACCGGCACCGGCACCGGCACCGGCACCGGCACCGGCTCCGCTCGGTCCCCGCGCCGGGGGCCGCCCCCGCCCCCTCCCTCCGCGCCGCCCCGCCCGCCGGCGCCGCCGGGCCCCGCCGCCCCGGTATGAAGGCGCTCCGACACAAGATCGAGCTGCTCACAGGTACGGCCCGGTCCGGGCGCGCTGCGGCGGGGCGAGGCTGGGAGGGGCCGGGCGCTGGGGTGCCGGGGTCGGGAGAGGAACGAGCTTTGACCGCCCCCCCCCCCCCCCCCCCCCCCCCCCACGTAGGAGATGGGGCTGCCGGCCCCCCACGCCCCCGCCGCCTGCCTCTTCTCCCCGGAGCATGGGCTGCTGGCGGGGAGCGGTGCTTTTTTGGGGTGCGGGAGGTGACGCCTGGGGAGGTGCCAGGGCTGCAGCGGGCAAAGCGCAGCCTGGTGGTGCTGGGGGCGGGGGGGGGAAGTGGGGAACTGAGGAACTGAGTCGGCAGCCTCCTGGCACGGGGGGCCACCAAACTGCCAGCTGGGGTGTGGGGTGGTGTCTGTGGGACTGCTGGGGAATCCCTGCAGCACCCCCAACTCCGCCAGCCTCCCCTGGGAGCCTCCCCCGGTGCCTGGGTGCCCCGAGGACAGGGCTGGGGAGGAGGTTGCTCGTAGCAACAGCTGCTGCTAAAGAGCCTGCGTCCCCCCAGAGCGCCCCCCCCCCCCCCGCCACCGCTGCCCCCTGGGCCTGGGATGCTCAGCCCCTGGCACCGGAGCCCCTGGCCTGGTGGGTCTTGCTCAGTGACCTGCCCACTCCTGCACTCCCCGGTTGGACCACACCTTTAGTCTGGGTTGTGGGGGGCTGCTGGGGTGCAGACCCGTGCCCTCCCCATGCGGGCAGAGCAAGCTGTGGGTGTCTGGTCTGCACTGGCAGGGTGGGAGGTGGCCGGGACTGTGTGTCACACCGGGGTCTTCCTCCACCCCGTCGTGGCTCCTCAGCGACCCTGCTAAGGGGGCGATGCTGTGGGCACTCTTCCATGTCTTGGACTGGGCTGCAGGTTCCCTTCCTCCCTCTCCCCGCCTTGCCTTGGCTTTGCCGCCTGGCAGGGGCCAGCACTTGCTCCTCCAGATTTGCTTCCCCGTCTGTTATACCCTGCTCGGTTAGCCCGGAGAATCTCTGCCAGCATCCTGTGGGTGCCATGTCCGTGCCAGGGCAGGATGCAGGGAGTCAATGGGGAGACTCCTGTGAGGCTGGGGCATGATCCGAGGTATCCCTGCCTTCCGACCAGACACAGTGTCAAACCCTTCCCATGACAGCCTCGTCATGATAAAATAATATAATAATAACAACAATAATAATGTATTTCCTTGCCATGAGCTGCTTCTCCTCCAATAAGCCTGCACTGGGCTTCAGATCCCCAGGGAAGGTGAGCCAACACGGCTGTTTCTGTCCCCGTCTATAGATGCAGTGTCAGGGCCCCGGCGGGGCAGAGCACTAATGTCGCACCGTTTTTGGGACCGATTTGGGATTAGGGAGAAGGCGCCTCCTAACTCTGCCCAGGAAATGGTGGCACTGCACTGGGAAGGCAGAGCGGGAGCTGAGATGAGTGCTCTTGGGGTAGCACCCTGGGGGTAGGTGCTGTCGGGGAGCATTGTTGCGAGCTGGAGGGAAAAGGTCTCGTTGCCAGCCACATTGCCCTGGAGTGCGATGGGAGCCAAGTTGTTTTGGCTAGGAGGCCCGGAGCTGTGGCTTCCTCACCAGCCCTCTGTAGTGACAGTGGCCCGGGCAGGCTGGGTGACACTGCCCACAGCCCCACTGCTGTGCTGGCAGGAGCAGGGATGAGGGTACCTGTGGGGTGACATGGGATGCTGAGCACCCACGGGAAGCCCGCAGCATGGCTGTGACCCTACTCACAAGCGACTCCCTGGTGTACTGATCCCTCCCCCCCATCCCCAGGCTCAGCACCACTTCAGGAGACTGTCCATCCTGCGCTGAGGATGCTCGCTCACATAGGGTTCTGCCGTGTCCCTTGTGAACCAGCTTCACCGCCGCCATGTGAGCAGGGTCACGGGGTTTTCCTCATTGCTCGGCCACCCTCCCTCCCATATTAGCTGGAGGCTTTAATTAATAAAGGCATTTATCATACGCTGAGTGCTGTTCCCAGCCACCCTGGGTCTGTGGCCACATGGTGGGTTGGCACGGTCAGCCTGGGACACTCCTGCTCTCTTCCAGACCCAGCTACCGGTGAGGCTGATTTTCCTCCCATTTTTTAACACTGGGATTGTGCCCCAGGGGATCGCAGGGTTGCTTGGTCGGTGGATCTGCAGGCTGCAGCATCTCGACTGCTCTGGTGGGCTGCAGGTGAGGTCTGTTCCCTTGCGCAAAGCCATTTCATTTCCCCAGCAGCGGCTCAGTCTGGAGCAGCACGCCCCAGACTTGTGCCTCTCCACGGGGCTGTCAGCACCTCTCCTCGCTGGGGGTCTGCGCGGCCCCCAGCCCGGCGGGACCCTCTGTGCAGGTGATGACGTGGAGACCCCTGGCGCTGGGCGCCCTGGCACTCCTGGGAGGCTTCACAGTGGTGTTTCTCCCTTCAAACAGTTCTGGTCTGTTGGATGGCTCCCAAGGAGCAAAGTAAAGCGCGTTGTCTGCAAAAGGCAGCCAGACGGCACAGCCCACTTGGCTTTTGAATGGAAAACCTGGTTGGATGAGCAGAAACCGGCTTTGGAGGGGAGTTTATGACCAGCTTGTATATTCTCGGTAGCCTTGCAATGCTGGTGGCATTGCTTGGCCTTTCCACATTGCTAACCTGGGCTGACCCAGGTTTGAAGGTGGACAAAGCACGGAGGAGGCTTGGCTGAGGCTATGGGTGAAGCAGGGTCTGTGTCTGTTGTGGTGCTAGTGCGGCCTGATCCCATCGCCGTGTCCCCAGGGAGATTGCAAAGGGTGGATAGTCAGTGGAAGGGTTGTGGGAGACCAGTGCTGGCCCGTTTGGAGCAGCAGCAACTCATCCGAAGGCTTGGCCGTGGGGAAGGGGTGGAAACGGAGGTGGCGAGGGCGAACGCCTGAGGTCCAGGTCCTGCCTGAGCACAGATAATCCCCTTGAGCTGGGAACCGCCAGTTACACACTCCGACTATACACAGGGGAGCCTGGATTGTCCTCTGTGTCCCCGATGTCTGTCTCCTTCTGTGTGCAGTCAGCTGCTGGGGGGCACAGGCATCCCCTTGCTCCCCTCTGCTTTCGAAGCTGGCTTTGTGCCTCAGGGTGATTTTGGAGGTGCTGTTGTTGTGGGATACGAAGTCCCAGTGCCCTGGTCAGCAGCAGCCAGTCCCATACCTCTGCTCCACGGTGAAGTCTGTCCCTGCAAGCCCTGGGGCTGAGCTGCCAGCTGGCCAGCACTTGCTTTGCAGGCAAGGAGAAGAGTTTGGGAGCAAAGGCTTCATGTTTGGTTTTCTCTTGTCATTGCAATACAAACTTCAAGCTGTCTCTCTGCTCCCCTGCTTCTCAAAGCATCCCTTCGCCTCCCAGCATGGCTGAGAAATATCAGCCCTCATTCTGGCTGTTCAGGGAGATCTCCCTCTGTCCCATCCATAGCCATCTGCAGCCTCAAACCAGCCAGAATGTTGGATTTTCTCTCTCTGACCAATGCTGGAAGCTTGGGTGGGAATTGGGAAGTTCTTGCCCTGGGCTGAGTGCTGACAGGGGTGTCCAGACCAGGTTGCTCTCCCAGTTTGCCATGCACTGGAGACAGGTCTGTCCTCAACTGGGACAACTGGACCTGGGTGGGAGCTGGGAGCCGAGCTCTGCCAGGCACCTGTGCTTCGCCCTGCCCTGTGCCTGCATTCAGCTCCCAGCGGAGGGGCTTGCTGCAGCCCCGGACAAGCCAAAGCACCAGGTTCCCAGGTAGCTGGGTAGAGTGACGCTGATTTAGGTCCCATCCCCGTGGGCAGGGAGACGCGGGAGGCTCTGGAGGGGCTGGGGCAAAGAGGACCGAGGCAGGACCTGCCCCGACATCTCGCTTGCCCTGGGCAGGGCTGCTGCTGCAGGAGATGACCATGGCGGGGCTGCATGAGCTGTGCTTCACTGAGGAGAAGCCGTTGCTGCGGGGTCAGGATGCCGAGCTGGTGAGTCTGGTGACCCCACTGGATCCGTCTCCTGCATGTGGGGAGCTTAAGTGGGAGCGTGGTGGGGGTGTGCGCTGGTGTTGGGTGCACGTGTGTGCACATGTGTGTTGGTATTCGGTGCGTGTGTTTGTGCAGATGTGTGCTGGTATCGGTGCCCATGCGCGGGTGAGTACAGGTTCTGGTTTGGTGTGGTGATGTATATGTGTGTGAAGATGTTGCACGCACATGCTAATATACACCTGTGTGTGTGTGCACACGTGCAGGTAGTGCATGCACGTGTGTGCAGCTATTGTAGATGTGTGTGTATGTGTGCACACGTGTGGGCATTGTGTCCCCCTGCAGCCAGCGCTGCCCCGGGGAGTGGGTGCTTGTGGTGTCAGGGGCTTCGGGAGTTGGGTGGGAGGAGGGAGTCGCAGGAATGAGGTGCGGTGGGAGATGTCGCTGTCCCTAACAGCTCCTTCTGTCCCCAGGAGAACTCGGATGTCTTCCTCTCCACTGTGGACACAGACTGGAAGGTAAGAGCAGCCCTTGGGGGTGCTCCGCACCACTGGGTCCCGTGTGGGACAGCAGCCTGTGACTGGGGAAGGCTGTGGGGTGCTGAGCAGAGCCAGGGGTCTTGCTTTCCCCGCCTTCCATGGGGACATAGTGCCTGGTCGGTGCCTGTGCACGGGGCTGCACATCAGTCGGGGTCCCTGGCGGGAGGGGACAGGCAGACGCTGTCAGACATGCTCTGTGCTGGTGCTCGGATGTGGCTGGCGGGCACTTGGTGACAGGCCCGGGACAAAACCTCTTTAAAACAGGCAATTTCTTCTCAGGAGGGCCGAGCTGCTTTTCCAGCCCCTCTGCCATTGCCATGGCAATGGTTTCCTGGGTGATGCCAGCTCCCCCCGCTTACATAAGGATGTTTGAAAGCCTCTTTATTTTTTGGCGGGCTGGGGCATTGCCCCCCCCCTACCACCCACCTCACTTGGAGAGCAGGGCCCTCGCGCTTCCCCGGCTGGCACCTGCCCACCTCGTACCCCCGTTTCGCCTCCTCCTCGGAGCCCTGTGACACGGCCTTGGGGCTTGCAGGGGCTCAGCTCATGTCTGGCTCCCGTGTTGGTCTTCATCGCCCTCACACCTCTGCCCCAGCTCATCCCGCACCAGGATCCCTGCAGAGACTGAGGTGCCAGTAGATGGGGAGGGAGAGCAGTGGGGCTGCCAGACCCACACTTGCTGCCTGTCCCTCTCCCAAAGCATCCCCCCTGCCAGAGGACACCAGTGACCTGGTGTCAACCTTACAACCTGGATTCAGGTTGTATGTTGTGGCTTTTCCAGCGGCTGGGACCACCGGGAGGGTGGACTTGGGTGGTGCTGGCAAATCCTGCCAGGTCCAGCACTGAAACAGCAGCACCTGCATTTCATTCGTCCTGGAGAGGAGCAGGGGGACACCAGGTCTCTGTTTTAGCAGGTCCGAAGTGGTGCCCAGGCTTTTGGGGATGGCCCACTCAGCCTCCGTCACCTGAGTGGGTGGCAGGGTGCAGCCAGGTGGGGAGCAAGGACTTTCATCAGGATGCTGAGCGGTGGCTTCTGTGATTCACAGAGCAGGAGATTTCTGGTGGCCCTCTTCGAGGCCACAACATTATTCAAAAATGGCAGTGGTGGAAAAGAAGTGCGTCCTTCCCAGCAGCTCCAAAGCTGGCGAGACGCTGGGGCTGGGAGCAGCAATATGCAGGGCTGGGCCACTCTGTTTGCTCAGGGTTGCTGTTGACCACGGGAGGGGAAACCAAACCTCCTGGTGTCACTGAAGTGCGGGTGAGGAGGGAGAGGGAGATGAGGAGGAAGAGGAAAGCAGCAGTTCCAGGCTGCCCAGAGCTCCCGGTAATGCCATGGGCAGCGGTGTGGCTCTCGCTCGGCTGCGTGGGGGCAGGGCTTGCTTGGCACACAGGGGATGTTAAAGAGCAATGACTCTCCTAGGATGATGTTTGCATGTCAGCGTTTCAGGGTTTGGCCCACAATGATGCTGAACTGTGTCCCCCCACGGTGCCCAGGTGGAGCAGGTCCAGACAGCAAATGCCACAGTGATGCTCCTGCATGCCCTCAGTACCTACAAAAATGATCTGCGTAAGGATCAAGGTGGCTTTTCCCAAGCCAGCCAGGCCCTGCAGCCTCTCGGTCCCCCCGCCAAGTGTCTCCTCGTGGGGATGGAACAGGCTTCCCAGGCTGTGCCAGGGAAAGCCACTCCTTTCCCTAGCTCGCATGTCAGTTCCCTGCAAAGGCTGGAGGCTGCCTGCCCTTCCTTGGGGAGTTTTTATCCCATTTTTTAGGGTCGCCTCCTTGGGGTAATTCAGTCCTTCCCCCAGCTTAACTCCACTGTCCCTCTGCTCTCTTGTCAGGATGCTCGGGCCTGGCTGGGGCAGTGGGGGAAGCAGGGATCCCTTCTGCCACTGCCAGCCAAGGTAAAGCCCTTGGGGCTGCTGGCATAAGCCAAGGTGCAGGGGGACAGGTGTGTCTGCACCAGGACCTGGGTGCCCTGGCCCTGCTGGAGCTCTGGGCCACCCGCCAGGTGGATGGGCTAGTAGCCAGTGGGGTGGTGATGCCATTTAATGCCATTCAAGTGGAGCCAGCCTTGCTCAGACCTCCCATCTCCCAGCTGCCCTTTTGCATTCAAGCCTTAACTTCAGCTTTTCCATCCCTTCTCCCGTCTATTTTGTCACTTTCTGTCTTCTTTTGCCTGCTCATGCCCCTCTGCATCTCTTGCTTTTTCCCAGAGGCTGTGGCTGCTCATGCTCTTTGACTCCACAGGCAGCAGAGCTGAGGAAAGCAAAAATGACACCCAGACCCATGAATGGCTTTGTACTTGTGCCAGGAACCACCTGGGATCCGGGCTTCCCCCTCACAAGCAGTTCTTCTGTTAGCAGAGATGCATCTCTCCAGGCTTGGGTGTGAACTTGCAGCAGGACAAAGCAGTGCAGAGGAAAGTCTCTTTGGTGGAGGCAAAGTGAATGCTGTCCCTCTGCCTGCTTGTCTGTCCTTTCTCCCATGTCCAGACCCCCCTGGCTGCCCAGCCCTGACTTGTTTGCAGAACACTGCTTTCAGTGGCTCCCCACCAGCTCTGGATGATCGTTTGCTCAGGTCAGGGAAAGGGCTTTCCCCAGGAAAAAGTAGCTCAGCCCTCTTATTAGACATAAGAGACTCCACAGGAACAGGCTTGCTGGGCGTAGCTGAGGACATGGGTCTCTGCCATGCAGGGATGCCTGTGCATGTGCTGGCAGCTGGACCCCTTCTGCCCAGGGCTGTGGCACGTGCCAGGGCATGGTGGAAGCATGCCGTGGTGAGCTGCTGGGGGGGGGGATGCAGAGGTGAGGGTAGGCTCCAGCTGACGTGGAGCGTCCCTGCGGTGGGCAGGGAGGCTGAGGGTCCCGGCTGGATGCTGCCCCAGTCTGGCACTGGTGTGTCACTCTCTAGCCCCTTTGAGCAGGTCCCAGATGGACGGTGGGACTCTTCCTCCACCCATGGTTGCCCAACTTCGTGCTGGAGTGGCTTGGGTGCTGGCTGTGCCAAGCCGGGCAGTGGTGCTGGGCTGGGCAGGGGCAGGCAGGGTGCAGAGGGTGGCACCCAGAGCCTGCCAGAGGGTTTTAGGGCTGTGGTGGCATGAGGCTGTCCATGGGTGCGAGCTGCCTGCTCGCCCCCTCATGAAGCCTCGCTGGAATCAGAGCAGAAACCATCTGCCTGCATGCACGTGCGCGTGGGAATACACACGTGTGTGCGTGCGCACACGTCATGCATCGGCCCAGGGACAAGCTCCGACCCCTTGGTGCTGCTGGGTTGTCTTTCCTCTCGCCTTATTTCCCTGCCACCAGCAATGTCCGGTTGGGGCGAAATCCTGCACATCCCCCCTGTGCCAGCATCCTGCAGCAGGCAGGACGACCATGCTGCTGGGTAGGTAACACCGGTAACTGGGCAGCGTTCATGTGTGTACACGTGTGTGCCCCTCTGTGCACACGTGCGCAAGGTTCTGCATGTGTGCAGGTCATTGTGCACCCATGGGCATGAGTGATGGCCGTGGCATACACGCTAAGCACATGGGAGAAGGATGCAGCAGGCATGCTTCTTATTATGCACGTGACCATGCACATACATGTACCGGAGCATGAACCAACGCAGACACACAGGGGCCAGCCCTGTGGGGGTATACAGGAGCAATTGATGGGGTGCATGTTCTTCAGTGTGTCATTGTATTTATTTTTCCAAAGTTTGCATTCACAGACATGTGGGGGGGACAGAGTTTTGCCCGGCCCCTGTGTGTCTGTGTTGGTATGTGTTCCTGTGCACGTATGTGCATGGTCACACGCGTGTGCAGAGCGCACATGCTGCAGCCCTCTCCTGTGTGTTCAGCGTTTCGTTTACCCGTGCCCATTCATAGGGGTGTGTGCACGTGCCTTGCCGCAGGGCCTTGGTCTGAGCTGCTGCAGATTCAAGCATGATTCTGCGTGTTTGTGTGGGGCTGGACCCGTGTGTCTGTGGGTGATGCGTGTGGGTCAGCGTTGCTGGGCTCTGCTGTGGCAGTGCTGTTGCAAGGGGTGTGAGTGCAGCCCGGACCAGGCACCCCTGCCTGTCTCAGTCTGCTGAAGGAGGGAAGATGGAGCAGGTACTGCACAGTGCCAGGCGTTTTTTCTTCATAAACAAGGGGGTTTTGAGGCCAATTGGAGCATGAATAATTCCCGCAGCAGCCAATGGCTGAGTGCTGGCTCCATCACAGCGCTCGCCTGCAATGGAGGCCAAACCTGCCGGGGCTGCGCGTCGCATCGAGGGGGAAGGGAGAGGGAGGGCTTAGCGCAGGGCTGGGGCTCCGCTATAAATCAAGGCAAGGGGCTGAGCCAGCGCAGAGCTCTGCTTCACCCCAGCCTGCCGCACTGCTGTGCCCCACGCCAGGACCCCGTCCTTGGCCCACCTGGCCCACGCATCCTCCTCCACCCGGTTCCTCGCCATGCCTGAGTGCTGGGATGGGGTAGGTACCACCGTTCCCGTGATTGCTGCCCTCCCTTCCCAGGGCGTTTTGCCCCACTACCACCTCTGCTTGCCCAGGCTGGCCCTTGTACCCGGCAGGGCTCGGTGTGAGCCAGGCAGGTGTTGGTGCAGTGGCGGGGGGGGACCTGGTTGGGGAGCCCTTCCTTCCCCCAGCCCCACTGCTGCATCCCTCAGGTGCCGCAGGTTTCGGGGACGCATTGTCCTTGAGCATGTCCTCCCCGAGCCCAATGGAGATGCTGCGCCGAGGCTGAGGGTGAGCGAGCGCAGCCGCAGCAGCTGCGGGCTGTGCTGGGGCTGGCAGCTGATGGCGGGGGGGGCACACCGCCCCTTCTTCACCCGCAGAGTTGCAGAGGGTCTCTTGCCATTTTGGAGCGGTCTTTTGGATGGTTTCTGGCCTCTGCGGTGATGGCAACACCCGGTGGCAACAGGGTAGTGTGGAGCAGGGGGGCGAGCGCAGTGGGAGCACTGCAGTGGTAAGCGGGTAACCTGGACAGGGCTGGGCTTTCTCAGGCACCTATGGGTGCTGTGACCCCTATGCCCGTCCTTGCCTGGGCCAGGGTTGTCAGTGCCTCCCACCCCCTGCAGCCTGCGTCCCCCGCGTCCCCAGCGATCCCAGCCTCCCCCCATAGCGAGCATCCCTGCGGCAAAGGGCAGGGCTGTGGTACCCAGCGATGCGGCAGAGGCTGCACCGTGGGCAGGGATGTGCCTGGCTTGGCGGCGGGGGCTGGGGGGGAAGAGGTAGCAGTGCTGGGGAAGGAACCGCCACCTCGGGCATGTGATTTGGGGAGGGGGGGGGGATTGCAGGCTGAGCTGTTGGAGCTGTGACGGGGACTGCAGGCACGGTGATGGCTGGAAGGCAGCCCCGCACCCAGGATCAGACCACATGGATGCCTCCTGGTCTGTGACCTTGGGCCAGGCCCTTCCTCTGCCTCACTTTCCTCATCTGGTATTGCGGGGATGACTCTGTTCATTGCCTGCTGCCTGATACAGCCCCGAGGAGTGGGGGGACAGCTGTGGCTGAGGGCTGGGGTCAGGGTGCCCTTGGGGAGCTGAGCGCTGTCTTCACAGAGCCCTTGAGCTGCCCTCAGGCACCGTGTCCCCCGGGGGACAGTGGCTCTTGGTGAGAGGAGGCACTGCGGTGAGGTGACCCTGTCCTTAGGCAGTTCCTCCCACCTGAGGCCCGTGTCCTTCAGAGTCCTTGGCGGTGTGTAACCCGCAGGAGCGTTCACGTACCTGCTCCCCTCCCACCAGCCCACCCACGGGGCTGCCAGTACCAGCAGTGAGGACTGTGCTGGTTGGGCACCGTGCCAGCACCCCCTGCGCAGCTCTGCTCGGGGTGTGATGCTCCTGCACCCACCAGATCCCAGCTTTGAGGTCACTGCCAGGGGTCCGGCTGACAGGCATGGGCGTCTGGAGGGGACCCCTGGGCCCTTGTCCCTGGGCTGACCTGGGCTCACAGCCTCAGTTTCCCTTGCTGGCTGAGGATGATGGCTGTGAAAGCAAGGTTGGAGCCGTCCCAGCAAGGGAAACTGAGGCAGGGGGTAGTCCTGTCTCTTATGGGGGCACATCCATTTCAGACCAAGGGATTTTAAAAGTTACTTTAGCTGTCATTTTGGGATCTGGCTGCAGCGTTTCCTGGGGTAGTGATCGGGGTCTGAGCTCTGCCTGTTTGTCCCAGGCATGGGGAATCCAGGCCAACTGGGCTATGCTGTGATTCCCCCACCCTGTTGCCAAAACTCCCCCAGTTTTAAGCCCTTGAGGATCTCATCCCATCCTGTGGTCCACCTGTCTCATCCCACACTCCTCCTCTCCAAGCCCTCTTGGATCATCCCATCTCACCCCAAGCTTCTACCCCTTGTTCCCATCCTGTGGTCTGGTCACTATACACCCGTCCAATCCTAAATATTATTATCCTATTCCCTTCCCCTTCCCCCTTCCCCTTTCCCCTTCCCCTTCCCTTCCCTGACAGCTGCTCCTCTTTCCCTCGTGTTCCCATGGGACCCAGCCTCCCGGGGAAGCAGCGGTGAGGTGTAGGATGGTGGGGCAGGAGGCGACGCCTTGGGGCAGACAGGCAGACCTCACTCCATCTCTCCTCTGCCTCCAGGAACATGACATTGAGACCCCCTACGGGCTGCTGCACGTGGTCATCCGGGGCTCACCGAAGGGGAATCGCCCGGCCATCCTGACGTACCACGATGTGGGCCTCAACTGTGAGTGCTGGTTCCTGGGCCATGGGGTACAGGGGCAGGTGGGAGTGAGCCTGGGGCTGCACAGGGTGCCGGGACATTAGCCAAAGGCCCCAGCTCAACTTCTTTGCCTCTTCCCATTGAGGCTGCTTTGGATCTCCCCAGGCATCTGAAAGTACCGGGAGGGTTTTGATGCTCATCTGAACCCGAAGCCTGGGCCACGCATAGCCAGGAGTGCTTGGCCACCCTGGTGCTGGCTGTCTGCCTGCCCACACCGGGCAGGGATGGGACACGGGGGGATGCTGGGTCGGTCCCCACCACTGGCCCGTTGGTATTCAGAGCATGGACCTGGCTGGCAGCAGGGTGTAGCGGGTGCTGAAGAGGATGGGGACTAGCAGGGAAGGAGGAACCTTGACAGGCGGGGAAGGAGGGATCCTGAGCCGTGGCTCTAGATGTGGGGGTGCTGCGCTCTCTGTTAGCTTGAAGCCTTGGACCTGCACCCCAGACCCCTGCTCTGGGCTGTGCACCCCTGCCCCCGGCCAAACTAGGGTGCCTGGTGCCCTGTGGGTGAGGAGAAGCATCTCCCCCTCCGCTGGTGGCTGAGCCTGAGTCACCAGCATTCCAGGTGAACTGCATCACCATCGCAGCAGCACTCTCGTGTCCAGGGATGTGTCATGTTGGTTGCAATGGATGACCTTACAACCTGCCTCACCCCCATGTTTTGGGATGGATGTCCTGGCACCGATGCCATGGGTAGGAGCCTCCAAGCCTCAGTGATGGCTATATCCCGCTGCAGCAGTGGTGGCCTGTCCACTGTGGCACTGGGGCCATTTTTTTGACTATTTCAAAGCATGGAGATTTTCATCTGTTTCTCAATCCCATGTTTTCTTGAGCCCCTCCCGGGGATTTTAGGTGGGGCCAATAATGCCCCAGGCTGCTAATTCTGCTGCCGGCTGGGGCTGGGTGGTCCTGCAGCTCTGGGCTTTGCATCCCCCAGTCCCATCCCTCCAAGCAGACAAGGCTCACCCCAAACTCCTCATCCTCCTGGCTGTGTCTGTCCATCCCCACGCCTCCCAGCACCAGTAGGGATGTGGCCTTTTCTAACAGTGGCTGTGGTCTCTGTGGTGGGGATGAGGAGCCTGGAGGGAAGGGGATGGGAGAGCTTTGGTGGCACGTCACCTCCCAGTTGAAGGGCAGCGGGAGGGCAAGGGGCATCTCTCCATGCTCCCCTGGCCCACCAGAACCCTGTGCCGGGCGCTTGGGCTCTGATTCCTGCCTGCCCTTTGACAGACAAGCTTTGCTTCAACACCTTCTTCAACTACGAGGACATGCAGGAGATCACGAAGCACTTTGTGGTGTGCCACGTGGACGCGCCAGGCCAGCAGGCAGGAGCCTCGCAGTTCCCTCAGGGGTAGGTGCCAGCTCTGGGGATTGCTACACCTGCTGGGATGTCCCCTCCCTTCCCGTCACTGCCGGGGCAGTCATGCCCTGCCTGTGGGTTTCTCCGAACCATGCCAAAGCCTGTGGCAGCCGACTGGCCCAGGGTAGGCAATGGGCTGGTTTGTGGGGGGGTGGCATTTCCTTGCCCACTTCAGGCAGCCCAGCTGCTCTGTCCCAGCCTTCCTGCGCTGCGAGGGTCCCGTAACTGCCGTCCCGTGCCTCCCTGTGCTGCAGGTACCAGTACCCATCCATGGACCAGCTGGCTGCCATGTTACCCAGTGTGGTGCAGCATTTTGGGTGAGTCAGCCTCTCCTCCATGGCTGCGGGCTGAGGGTGCTGGGCAGGGAAATGGGCAGGAGGCAAGGGTCTGGGGCTGGGGGAGGTTGTCCCTGTAAGCTGGCACCCCGAATGTCTCCTTGTGCCCCCATGCTGCGGGTAGAGGTGTGCCCCAGGGAACCCATGCTGGAGCCCACTGTCCCCCTACACACACCTCTCCGCTTTCCAGGTTCAAGTACGTGATTGGGATTGGTGTTGGGGCAGGAGCCTACGTGCTGGCCAAGTTTGCGGTAAGCCTGGGGCTGGGATGGGCTGGCCCTGAGTTGCCTGTACCTACTGTCGGCCTGGGGCATGGGGAAGAGTGGGAGCTTACAGCCCCAGGGCAGGCTGTGCCACTGTGAAGGCTCCTGGAGGGATGGGGGGGCCGGGACGGCAGTGCCATGGCCGTGGTGGCTGAGCAGTCTTGCCACAGGTCTCCCATCGCTCCCAGGACAGGGCCACGCCGGCCCCACGCAATGCCTGTGCAGTGGGCAGCAGTGCTGGTGCGGGGGGCTGCCCCGGGCGCAGCTCCCCTTCCCACTGAGCATCGCCCCTCTCACTCACTGCAGCTCATCTTCCCTGACCTGGTTGAAGGACTGGTCCTCATGAACATCGACCCCAATGGCAAAGGCTGGATTGACTGGGCAGCTTCCAAGGTGGGCTGACCCCCCGCCCCCCCCGCCCCGCTGGCCCCGGCTGCTCCCTGGGGCTGGAGCCAGCCGTGGCAGTGCCGTAACTCCCTGTGCTCCCTCCACAGCTCTCTGGCCTCACCAGCACGCTGCCGGACACCGTCCTGTCCCACCTCTTCAGCCAGGTAAGGGCTGTGCATCCCGCTGGCCCTTGCCACCGGCCCCAGCCCCAGCCTCCCAGCAGGGCTGTGGCTTCCCCTGCCTGCTGGGTGCCGCAGTGCCACTGGACCTGGCCCCTGGGCAGGGACGGGGTTAGTCAAGCCCTACCTGCACCCCTCCCGCCCGATCCAGGGCTTAGCCTTGACGAGCGTGCGACTCCTGCCTGCATCCTGCCTGGGTGTGCTGCCCGCAGCACTGCCGTGCCCAGCTGCATTGCCTGGCAGACCCCCCCCTCTGCCCCGCTGGCTGGCACGGCATGAGCAGGCTGGGGGGAGCGGGGTGTCTCCAGGGCACCCAGCAGCACTGGCCCTCACCTCCATCCCCTGCCGGCACAGGAAGAGCTGGTGAACAACACGGAGCTGGTGCAGAGTTACCGGCAGCAGATCGGCAGCGTGGTGAACCAGTTCAACCTCCAGCTCTTCCTCAACATGTACAACAGGTGAGCACCGCGGGCGGCCCTGCCAGCGGGTGCCCTCCTCTCTGCACCAGGGCGAGGGGCTGCCGTGCCGGTGGGTGGCCCCGAGGGCGCTGTGGGAATCCTCAACACTGTTGGGTGCTGCCACCACCCTCCGGTGCAGGCAGGCAGCGGTGCAAAGCTGGCCGCCGGTGCTGGCCGGGGATGCAGGAGTGGTGGTACCTGTGCCGAAGCCTTGCCGTGCCCCAGAGCCCACGGCCGTGGGTGCATGTCGCCTGGTCTCCTCCAGCTCTGGGTTCTGGCGCAGGCCTAGGGGACGGGGCAGAGATGCCATCCCGTGCGTGCAGGGGGTTGGGAGCCTTGCTACTCTTCCGGGTGCTGCATCCTGTGGCACGGGCTCTGCTTGGGTCATGGCAGAGATGGCCATGGGGTCCTCCCTCCACTGCCGGGACAGTGGGGCTGGGTGCTGCTTCCTGGAGCTGGCAGTGCCCCAGCTCTTGTGCTATGGCATCGGTGGCAGCACCTGCCAGTGGGCTCACATTGGCCCTCTTTCTCCTCCATCAGCCGCAGGGACCTGGACATCAACCGGCCTGGGACTGTGCCCAATGCCAAGACGCTGCGGTAAGGGTTGTGCTGGCGTGGCATGGGGGGCGTCAGGGCAGTGGAGTCCACGCAGCCCCATCCCTGACTGTGCCCCTTCCTCCTCTCGCTTCCAGCTGCCCTGTGATGCTTGTGGTTGGAGACAACGCGCCTGCTGAAGAGGGGGTGGTGAGTGATGGAGCGGTGCCTGTGGGGTGGCACGCAGACAGTGCCCACGTGTGGGCAAGGTCGTGTTCGCTGCCTGCTCAGAGAAGTGTGAGCTCCCATCTGTGGGAACGTGTCCCTGTGCAAACATACCTGCTTGTGTAGGCGCGTGTGTGCACGTGCATCTGTGCACGGTTGCTCTACCTGGAAACCCCCCCCTTCCTCGTGTGCCCACGTGTGCTCACAGCGTGCACACTCGGATGCGTCGGCGCGCACACTCCGTGCTTGGCCACACGCCCCCAAACAGCTGCCAGCTGCACCCACATAGCTGTCCACACTTGCACCGTCAGCCACAGGTACTGTGCAGGTGGGCGCATCTGTACATAATGTGCAACTGCATGCACACGCCCCCCCCTCCATCACGTGTACCTCTATGCATATGAGCACACTTGTGTGCTTGTACACATGTGTGTGACACACAGGATGCCTCACCAGCCCCCCTTCCTCTCCCTTTCCAGCCCCCACCCTTGCCCAGACACTGGCAGGAGGAAAGTTCCCCGTGTCCCACAGCAAGGGGTGGTGGTTCTGCGGGCTCAGAGCTTGCCTAGCACCTTGTCTCCAAGTGGCTGGGGTGGGATGTGCCAGCTGGGGTGCCATGGGCCAGTAGTGGTACCCAGGGCGACTTCTGCCAGGCTCAGGGTCCCCCAGGGTGCTAATATCATCCCTCTCACCTGCAGGTGGAGTGTAACTCCAAGCTGGATCCCACCAACACCACCTTCCTGAAGGTAGGCAGGGGGCAGGGGGCAGCTGGGAGGTCCCTGCTGTCCATGAAGTGCCCTGTTGCCCTCTGCCCCAGGGTTACAGGGTGTCCACATCTCCCCATTCCGGGTCTGTCCTGGCCGTGGGGCTGGGGCTGGGTGGGGAGAACAGGGTGGCCCCAGCGGTGGCATCCTGCCAGCAGGTACCAGGGGACAGGGTCACCCTCCCAAACTAATCGGGACCTTCTCTCTGCAGATGGCTGACTCCGGTGGGCTGCCCCAGGTCACGCAGGTGAGCCCCTACAATTTCTCCAGTTAACTGGGTATACTGGGCCCTGAGACATGCACTGGTGCTGTCCCTGGCTAGCTGGAGATGAGCTGAGGTGGGCGTAGAGGTCTTGTGCAGGGGCTGCAGGAGGCGGCTTGGGGCTGAGCGGGATGTGGGCCCCAGCGCTGCCTCAACTTGGCCTGCTCTCTCCCCGCAGCCCGGCAAGCTGACCGAAGCCTTCAAGTACTTCCTGCAAGGCATGGGCTACAGTGAGTGCCAGGGCTGGGCATGGGGCTGGCGTGTGCCTGCGTGTGCATGTGCGTGTGTGCCCGTGTGTGCGTGTGCTGACCCTGCCACAGGAGAGGAGCCCGGCAGCCCCGCCTGCCCGTCCTGTGGAGAGCTGCACGGGCATCTGCGGCGTCGGATGTGCAGGCGTACAAGGGGTCTATCCATGCGTTTGTAGGGCTGTAGGGTGTACAGGCTCTGTGTGCACATAGACATGCGTGCAAGGGCTCTGTGTGTACATACGTGTGTGGACAGGGTCTCTGCACATGCGTACGCACTTATGTGTGTGTGTGGGCATGCATGAGCAGGTGCTGTGTGTGCACATAGACGTGTAGATTCCACGTCCACAAGTCTGTGTGCATGTGTGCGTACAGGTCGGTGAGCACGTGTGTGTGTGTGCATCCCTGTGTGTGTGCACATGCGCGAAGGTCCATGTACACGTGTGTGGGTGTGGGTGTGTTTGAAGGTCCACGTGCCCATGCATGTGTCTGTGCGTGTGCAGGTCTATGTGCACACATGCAGGTCCGTGTGCATGCACACACAGGGCTGGGTGGGGGCTCCTGGCCCCATGGAGCAGCCAGTGCAGCTGACCCTCTCTCTCTGCCCTCCCTGCCCTTCTCCTGCTCCATCCCTGCCAGTCGCCCACCTGAAGGATCGGAGGCTGAGTGGAGGCACAGGTACCGCTCAGTGCTGCTTGGCCCGTGCCCGCTGCTGCATGGTGCCCGCCTGGCCTGTGCCCTCGAGCTGCCTGGGCACCTTTGGGAGCAGCCTGGGTGTGGGGCTGGCCCTTCCTAGCCAGGTGCCCTCTGCCTCGTTCCACTTTGCCTGAGGTGGCATCCTGAGACAGGGCTGGGGGCTGAGAAACGGCATTCGGAGAAGTTCCCCCAAGGCAGGCACAGTCTTGGCAGTGTGCCCGCTGTACCTTCCTCCAGCCAGCCAGGAGCTGTGCCCGCTGGGCATCCTGGCTGGAGTTAGGGTGTCACCTTCCCTACACATCCTGGGGAGCTGGGAGAGCTCCCATCACAGCTCATTCCTTCCCCGGAGTGTGGCGGCCAGGGGTCCCTGCTGCCCCATGCCCAGTGGTCGCAAGCCCAGGAGATATGCCCAGTGTGCAGCCTGCCACAGGGCACCCTGTCCCTTCCCCACTCTCCCTTGCCATCCTGGAGCTGCTCATGTTGTCACAGCCCCGCATGCTGCAAGCTTGTGCCTTGGGGTCATTCGCGTCGGGGAGCGGGACCAGTGGCTTTGCTCGTGTGAGGCAATGTTGGCTCAGGTCCTGATGGCTTTCGGAGGGAGCTGAGCACCCCGGCCGTCTCTCTGTGCCCGTGCAGTGCCATCCGCCAGCATGACCCGCCTGGCACGCTCCCGCACGGCCTCCCTCACCAGCGCCAGCTCGGTGGATGGCACCCGCCCACGTCCCTGCACCCACTCAGAGAGCACCGAGGCCATGGGGCAGATCAACCACACCATGGAGGTATCGTGCTGAGGTCCACACCTGCTGCCGACGTCTCCTCCAGAGCCATCTCCCATCTGTCAGCATCCAGCACCCACCCGCCCCATGGACATCCTCCACCAGGGCCCTGGCTCCTTCGGGGTCGATTCGTCTTCTTTGCCATTGGCCTCATCCTCTTGTCTAGTACTGGAGAAGGAGAGGGGCTTCGCTTCACTGCCTCCCAGCTCCAGCTCCTGGCTTTGTCCAGCAGTCACACATGGTTCTGCATCGGTCCTCACCCTCCCCAACATCAGCTTGGCCCTGGCTTGGGAGTATGGGTGGCAGGTGGACGGGGCCGGGATGGGGGAGCAGGGGCAGGGTGATGAGTTGGGGACAGGATGGTGGGATGGGGCAGGACAGCAAACTGTGGGCAGGACAGAAGGACATGGAGAGGACACAGGAGGTAGGCTGGTCCCCCAAGGTCAACCAACGGCTGGCCAAACCAGAAGAAAGACAGAGACAGGGAGCGGCGCTCACTGGGAGGTCACTGGGCCCTTCCTGGGGATGCAGCTCCCATTTCTTCCCAACGACCCTCCCTGGGAAGAGCTAGAATGGGATCCCACCCCGGGCCTGCTGCCCCAGAGCTAGCTGAGCCTTGTGAGAAATCACACCCCAAACTGTCTCCTCGCCCTGGTCGTGTACCCCGCGAGCCACCTCGGAGCATGGGGAGAGGTCTCAGCTCTGATCCAGAAGCCATTGGGGCAGGAAGGTGGCATGGGGGTTCCCCTGCCTCTGCCCTCGCCCGTGGTGGCACTTCCTTAGTCCTTTGTTGCAAGAAGGACAATCGCCACCTGCCACCAAAAACGCGCTGGGAGGGAAGGGGGGAGCTGTGTCCCCTGACCTGCTCGGTCCCTGCCACACTGGCAGTTCTACTCCCAGCTCTTGGGCTGAGGCCGCCAGGCCTCAGACGCCGCCGGGTTTGGGGATGTTGCATGGCAGATCCCCCTCCAGTTTCGTCCCAGCCTGTGGGTGTCACCACAGTCGAGTCATTAGCAATAAGATGAGACACTCCCCCCCTGCAATGCCCTCAGTGCCCTCTGCCCCGCAGGGTGCATCCCCGCAAAGCGCTGGCAGTGTGGGGTGACCCCTGGACCTGGGGAGCACCCCAGTGTTGGCTGGCTTTGCCCACAGGTTGGCTTTGCCCACAGAGCCAGCCAGGCTCACCATGGCCCCCCAAATCTACACCCCTCATCCTCAGCATCTCGCCCGGGCACCACATGGGGCTTCTCTCAAGGGCTTGGCTCCCCCAGGGTGTGGGGCCCCCCATCTGGCCACCGGCTCCGGGTGGATCCAGCCTCTTGCGCCCGGCATGGAGAGCCATGCCATCGTGTAACCCTGCTGTCGGCCACCCAGCCTCTGCTGCTGCCAGCAGCCTACCCCACAGGCAGAAAAGCCCAGCCCCTCCAGCACCCAGGGTAAGGGAGCCCCTGGCTCTGGCAATGGGTGCTCATGTCTTTGCGGGTGGTCCGCAGGGGACCCCAGCAGGGACTTATGGGGGACCCCCCGGGTGCCACCACTGGGTGAGCAGAACCAGCCTGCTGGGAGCAGGTCCCACCCAGCCCCCCAAAAGCACTGCCCCCCCCCAACCCTGTCCCCACTCCCCAGTGAGGGGCACAGAGGTCCTGGGGCTCCCAGCGGGTGTATGAGGGCTTTTGGCTCCGAGACCCGTGCCCTGCCCAGCCCCTCCCATAACACCACCCCAAAACACCAGTGTCCCTATTTGTCCCCCACTTTGTTCTGCTGTGTGCTTCCTTCTCAGTGTGACTCTGAAAGCTATGTAGCTCCTTTTTACTGTAGATACCGCTGCGATCTCTTGTTTTCTCAGCGTGTCCTTCCAGATATATATAAAAATACCTATACATAATATATATAAGGGTTTGTCTGATCCCTGACCTTTTGGGGTTCAATTCCCCCTTGCATTCTCATCCAAGCAGTGCTGTGTGGTTCTCCTGGAGGTGCTCTGGCCGTACTCGCCTTTGGTTCCTCACCTTGGTTTTGTTGGTCAGTTTGGTTTTCTCTGGTGGTTTGTTCTTTTGATTTTTCTTGGTTTTCCTTTTTTTCCCGGTCACAGCAGAATTTAATGCGTTTTCCTGTCTGAGCATAACCTGGTTTTGTCATGGCGGGCGGCATCAAGGCTGCCACACTCACGAGATGGCAATATGTAAACCGGATTTAACTAACCTGTTGCTGTAGAGAGGATTTACTGTGTTGGAAAAAAACCCAACAAACTAATAAAGATGTTAAGAACCTGCTGTGCTGGAGGGAAATGAGTCCAAGCCCATCTTGGGCCTGCCTGCAGAGATCTGGTGGGCAGGGAGGACAAGGGGTACACCTTGGCCACCAACCCTACCAGGAGCTACACTGCTGGGAGAGGGGACCAGAGTGTCCTTGGAGGAGAGCCCAGGACCCCAGGGTGCATGTGGAGGGGAGTTGTAGGGTGCTTTGGCTTTGGGGCAGCCACAGGCAGAGTTCCCCATATGTTGGGAGTGGATGGAGACTGAAAAGCTGCCAGTTGTGGCCCAAAGAGGTTGGATCCAAGGGGTGCCCACTGGGGAAGGAAAGACCCATGGCTGCACAACTCTGGGGATGAACAGGGTCCCCAGGAGAGCCAGATTCCCTGTCCTCTTCCAGGACTGCAGGCTCCCTGTTTGTCTCCACATCAAGGTCTGAAAGTACCAGGCCACAGGCGTTTCCAAGTGTACGAATCCCCTCCCTGCATCCCGGCCCTCATCCCTGCTCCAGTGTGTCAGTGTCTGCCTTGTACTGGGGTGCCCCAGTCCCTGAAGACAGTACCAGAGCCAGGGCATGGAGGGAGAGTGACTGTGCAGTCCACACGCATGGTTGCCTGGCGTGGGTGAAGAGGAGCCTGGAGATGCGGGGAGGGAATGCAAACTGCCAAGACGGAGCCCACGGGGATGTGGGCAGGCAGCCTGGGAGCCTTTCCTGGCTGGTTTGGCTGGAGGGGTCTGCCGCTGGCCCCACCTTCAGTTCTTCCTCTGTCCTGCTTTAGCCTTGAGGCCTGTCTCTTGATAGCCCCTCTCTCCTTCTGCTTTGGTTTTGGGGGCCTCCTTCCTGCCCTTCTCACTCTTTCCCTCCTTCCAGCATTAGGCTCTCCCCTCCTGTTCTTGAGATCTTCTCTGGCAGGGATGTCTCTTTGGGCCCCCCTCTCTGCTGCCCCCCACCCCGGCCTGGGTGAGGCTCATATGGGTGGAGGGGGACTGGAATAGTCCTGGTGGGACTGCAGTGGGGTGTCTTCTGCCTGTGTCTAGGACTGGAAACCATCGCTGTGGTGTCAGGGCAGCTGCAGCTAGGATAGCTGAGTTGCTGGGAGGAGACCAGCCATGTGAGGACGTAGAGGAGCAAGGATCTGCTACTGCAGGATTCAGGGAGTTCACAGCCACGCTTGGGACGCTGGCGGGACAGCAAAGCCTCCCTTTGAGGTGTGGGCCTAGGATGTTATTAATGAGGAGTTTGTGTTAATTAGCACCTTTGCGCTTAGATGCTGTCAGGATGGAGGGCTCTGAGGGTGCATGGAAGAGGGGGCTGGATCCAGGGGAGATGCCCCGAGCCTCCTGCCACCCTCAGCAACAGGGCTGGCACCTGAGCTGCTGGGTGCCCCCAGGGCCTGAAAAGGGAGGGAGCTCAGGTGGGACAGGACACATCCTCCCCCTTCTTCCTCCCTGTGTGAAGCTGGGTGATGCCAGGGCAGGACTGCAGCATCCTGGAGGCTGAGGGAGGGGAACTCCTGCTGCATGGCCCTGGCTGGGGCCAGGCTCTGTTCCCAGCCCCTCTGCCAAGCTGCCATGCAGACACTTCTGACAACTCCCAGCCATAAGCTGGGCTGGAAGGGTCACCCACTCCCCAGCTGTCCCAGGGACCCTGGTAACACACGTCCTTGCTTGACCATCATCTCCCCAAAGACCTGGCTCCAGCCCCCACTTGTGTGGGGATAGGGGCAGTCAGGGGCTCTCATCCCTTGCCATCAGTCCCAGCCAGCCCTGAGCCCCTGCCTTCCCTATCCCTCTCCTTGCGGAAGGTGAACCTTGAACTTCATTCGTGCCCCTGGCTCCTTCCTTTGCCGCTCCTCCACAACGGGGACACCCCATGTCCCCACCCAGTTCCCCTGTGGGTGCTGCAAGCCCAGGGCACCCCTATTCCCTGCTTTCCCTTGGCCCCTGAGGGTCCTGGTCCCCTGGTACCACCTTGGAACCCACCTGTGTGTGCTGGGGCTGCCCCAGGTGCCTGTTGCCTGCCCCTGCCCTCGCTGCCCTGAAGCTGGGCTCACTGTGATGGGCACAGGGTCCAGCCATTATCAGAAGCAGCAGCTCTTCCAGGATCCCCAGAGACATGCTGGGGGGATTGCTGATGGAGGTTATGTCAATCACACAGGTTGTGCCTCATCTTACATTCGCTTGTGATCGTTTCTTCACTGACTGCTCATGGTAGGTTTGAATTGTTTGGAATCATCTTTTTGGGGAACAAGTACAATGCAGAAATATGATCTATAAACACCTTCTGCATCATTTATAAAGTGCTGGTTCTAGCAGGAGTTCTGCAAAGATCCACACTTCCAAGTCAAGTGTTAATTGTTTCATCTCTTACCTTTTCCTTCATTCCCATCTCTCCTTCTTCTAGACTCTCCTTTTCCCCCCACAGGAGACCCCAAGGCTGTGGACTGACTTCATAGGTGGCAGCTTTGCTGACCAGGACGCTGGGGCTCTGGGACACAGGAGGCTGCAATGCCAAGGGACGCTCCTGTTCATTGCCCTTGGTGGGGGTGGGGGAAGCACAGGTGACAAGCTGAGGCTGGACACCTCATGTGAAGGCAGCTGCAGTGAGGGGAAGCTCATTCAGCATTGGGTGGCTTCGCTGTCTGTTTCTAGCTGCCCCTGAAATAACTCGGCCGTGGCTGAAAGAAGGAAGGGCATACAAGGCACCATGGTGGAAAATCCTCCAAACCCTCTCCAGGAACTCAGTATGCTGAGGTGCCTCTCTAAAGTGCCCTGGAGAGGGCTGGACATCTTTGTGCTGATGGGAGATAGTCAATGAATTCCTTATTTTGCTTTGCAAAAATCTGGTTACACCACAACCATCAAGCAATTACAGGTGACACTCCTTGGAAGACCAACCAGGATGTGGCAACTGATCAGAGATCCAGGACACCGCACTGGGAGGGATGGGGGAATTAATGGAACCATGCCAATCAGTGAAGGGACATAGAGGGGAAGGGGAGTTGAGGAGGATGGTAGACAGAAAAGGGGTATACAGGGCCAGTTGTGTAAAACGTGGTCAGTCAGTGTGCTCGTCTGGCTGAGCCCTGTGCCTGATAACCGCAGTCTGTCCTATCACCTCATTACATCTTTTCATAACTATCTGCATATTGTCACTCTTGATCACGTGCGTGTGCGTTGCAAGGACTAAGTGCCAGCTACTGGTGAGACTTGTGTGTGAGTCAGTGAATATTGGTGCTACTGGAGTTAGACTTGGGGGGTGGGTACCCCTGGCCTGTGGTGTCAGCTACTGGAGTCAGTGGGGTCTCAGCCTCAGCTGCTGGAGTGAGTGGGGGCCTTTGGCTTCCAGCCACTGGGACAGGAACAGTGTGTGTCCTCTCAGGCCAAACCAGTCCAAATTCACCTGTGGGGCTCTCATAAAGTTTTTGGGGAAGGCTGAATGACAGCAGTAGCCCATTGGCATCCTTTGTAGGCTGTGCTTTCTATTTTCCTATATACTTATCCATCTGCTTCTGCCAAGCCCAAGTGGAGGGTCTAGGTATCTGTGAAGGGTACCTGAGGATGAGGCAGGGCAAGGACCCCCTGGGGACTTCAGTCTGAACTCAGCCCAAGACAAACAATAGGACTGGAAGGCAGAAGAAGGATGCTGGGACACTGGTAATTTGGGGTGCCTGCCTCACCTCTGTTCTTCATTTGCTCTCTCCGGGTTTAGAGTACTCAAGGACATCTAAACATCCTTTATACTTTAGCTGATTTGAGAAGTTAGATGTTTCCTCCTCCATACACCTACCACTGCCTGCAGTAGGAAGAGGCATCAGGAAAAGTCTAGTAGGAAGTTAGGGAGGTGCTATGCAGATGCTTTAAGGTGACATCCCTGATGGCAGAGCTCAACAGATGTGTCCTGGTGTGGGTAAGAAAAGCAGTGCTGAGTTTAATCTGGTATCACACGAGGGGCTCTCTGGGTAGCAGCCAAACGGGGCTCTAGCAGTCGGAAGATATTAAAGAGCTACTACTAAGTATATGGGAAGTGGTCTGGGAGAGAACAGGCACCGTCCTTCGAGGGGAAGCTCTAACAACAGCCACAGAAATAATCCATTCCCACACAAATGTTGCCAGGGCTTAGCATCCTTAGGTGCGAGAACCTGGGCACACAATAAACACATGGGTTTCTGCATCTGAAGCTGACCGCAGGACTGCTCAGCCAGAGATATTCGTTGAATTTTCCTCATGTGAAACCCTAAGCTGTACTGTAAGTTGTTCCCTTGTGCTTTTGAATTCAGAAGTGCAAAAGCTGAAGGATTTCGTTCCATTTTCAAATGCAGATCCAGGGAGAAAACCTCTCCTTTGCTTGGGGAAGGAAGAAAGCAGGGAGTGAACAGTGACTTCTTCATCCCCAGCCCCCTCATCATCTAACTCCATGAAGGAATGGGAGAGTCTGTGTGTTTTAACTGTTTCCATCTGCTCCCACCTCTTAAAGGAGCTCCGACTTCTTAAGATTTCAAGCACCCCAGTGCTGCAGCACCTGGGCCTGCCCCAGAGCAGCAGGCAGGAGAGTTGAGAGGACCACTAACTGCGAACACACTGCTCCCTCTCCCGGCCTCCTCAAGCACTCCTGAAGGAGGAAGCCATGGGCACATGCTTTTTTCTGGCAAGTCCTGCAGGAGTAGGTGTCCATGAAAGAAGCCAAACAGCACCCAGGAGAAACCCAGAGCAGTCTGGGGCTCCTTTCAAACCCCGAGGCTCAGACAGCCCATGGCCTTAGAAGGGAATGGGAAGAAAATCTTCCCCACTGGAGAGATCCTTCCCTTTTCTCTCTCTTTCCTTTTACTCCCCCTACCTGGCCTGCCAAAAGTATAGTTGATGCCTGCCATTAGTAACAGGTTCTGAGAATAAATCTGTGTGCATGTTAGCCTGCCTCATCACCTTTTGTGCAACACCAGGAGAAGCAAAGGCAGAGACACTTCAAGGAGCACGAAGTGGGAGGTGGAGTGGGACATCAGACAAGGAACAAACCAGTGAAA